GTTTCCATGCTGGGTCACACCACTCTCACAACCACCTCCCCCAGCAGAAAGGACATGATGCAGAGTCGGAACATCTGGGTTCGATCCTTCTCCTGCTCTTCCTAGCTCAGAGCCTACGGTCTTGAGGCTGCTTCCCTCCGTGAAATGGGGTGGGGGGGTGCCTTGCTCTGGTTGCATGACAGGGTTCTGAGAGGAGCCGGGGAGAGAGGGGTGGAGGGTCCTATGAATTAGTCCAGGGCCAGACAGTGTGTTGGAGTGTCTGTAACCAGAGCCGCAGAACTGAAGGCTGGTGCCATGGGCTGGAGACCACCTGGGGCCACAGCTTCTGGCCGGGTGACACCAAGCATCCCCAGCTCTCTCTAAGAGGAGGGGTGCCCTCATAGGGTGCCGTGAGGGTGCAGTAGGGTCATTCCTGTGGCCTATTTAGCACAGTGCCCGCTCATCCTCACACCGAGTCCTCAGTGGTAGCTGCCGGTGTTGTTATGATGCTTGTTGATGGGCACTGGGGGCTTTTTTCAGTTCTAAGACTGTGCAGCCCAGTCTTAACTGGGAGAAGTTGGCAACAGCACGATGCCGGCCCCTCAGCCCAGTCTGCTGCTCCCAGGGCCCTGCTGGAGGCTCTCCTCTCCCGTGCTCACTCTGCCTCTGTGTCCCTCTGGCAGCAGCACCAAAGCATCTTCCGCACCGAGGCCGCTATCTGAGATACGGGAGATGCATTCTGTGGGCACACTGTGTGCAGGGCCCAAGCACTCAGTGGTCCCGTGCCCTATTTATTCAGTAGTGGGGCCCCACGAGGGGTGCGACAGTATCCCCACTTGACCAAGGGAAATAAGGCCACCAAGGAAGCCGACTCGCCCAGGGGCGCTTGGCCTGCGTGGGCTCAGGGAGCTTTCCAAGGCACTGCTCAACAGTGTTCGTTTAACTCCCTTATCCCGTCTGGGCCAGGCACCAAATTAGTCCCGCCGCACACCTTCACAGAACGTCCTGCTGCACCTGGGGCCGCAGGCCGTTCCGGAGGCCAGCCCAGCTCCACCTGCGGCCCAGCGCTGGGTCAGGGTGTCTGTTCACCACTTACCCTCCCTCATTCTGAGCCAGGCTGACTTGGCCCTGAGATGCAGAGCTGAGCCAGATGTCCCTGCCCCAGACCGCGTCAGTCCAGTGGGGATTTGGTAAATGGAGGATTCTGAGACAGTGAGGGAGTGTGCTGGTCCAGAAAGGGTGTCCAAGGTGGGCCGGGGGCACCGAAAAAGGATTTCCCAGGAGGCCCCTGGAGGAGGCAATGCCCCACCTGGGCTCTGGAAGATGACTGGGAGTTCTCCAGTTAGAAAAGCAAGGAGAAGGAGCAGCTTCAGGGCGTGGGTGGGAGAGGGGACAAAGTGGCCCCCTTGTCTGCGCAGGCGGGTACCTCTGCTCCGTCGTGACGCACAGGCTGACGGACAAGCAGCTGAGGCACCTCAGCACGAAGACGACAGCGCTGGTGGTCACTGCCTCCATCCCGGGCAGCGCCTTCTCCGGAGAGCAGGTCGGGGCCGAGGTGCCCTTCAGCCCAGGGCTTTATGCCGACCAGGCTGGAATCCTTTTGAGCAACCAGCACACCAGCTCTGAGGTCAAGGTCTTTGGTGCCGTGGAGATTCTGGAGAACCTGGAGGTGAGTGGTGTCTGTGCACCGCAGGGGCTTTGGAAAGGGCCCGGAGGCAGGGAGGACCAGGTGGAATGTGGAAATCCTGGACCGCCTGTCCTTAGAATTAAAAATTAGAAGTAAAAATTTTTAAAAACGTAAATGCCCTGACCCTTTCTTTTTTCCGCAGTACCATTGTCATCTATTAGCGATGATGGCAAATACATCTATATGATTGCACTAGTCATTATGACTTCTGTGGGTCGTCCCCGACTGGAAGTTCCATGAGCAAGGGCGGCACTTAGAACAGGGCCTGCCTGACACAGGGCACGTGCTCGGGGGACACTCAGTGTGTCACAGGAATGAATTCAGTGCGGGAGCACACGCTGACATGGGCCAGGAAGAAAAGCTCTGATCCCTAACCTATCGCTGGGTCCCCACGGCTGGGGGCCGGTGCCCTTTCTGGGCCTCAGTGTCCCTGTCTGCTGAATGGCAGGTGAACGATGCCATAGGTCATGGAGTGCGGCGAGCTGGGAGGAGGTCTGGGGTGATGCAGCGAGGGGCTTCATTGGCCTCTCTGCCTGCTCCTCCTCTTGTCTCGCTGCAGCAAACATGTCTGAATGTTCTTGCAGCGAGACAGGGATGAATTCATTGTTGGTGGTGGAGGGTCCGCCAGGCCCCAGAGTTGGGCTGCTGGTGATCAGCCGTTAACAGAGCTCCAGGCTGCTCCCTTGGAAAGTTAGTGTTTGGTAGAAGTTCATGTCAATGTGGCGTTTTTTTTTAAAGAGCACTTGATTAGAATTTCCTGATACCGATTTGTCCCTTCCTTGCACACACCCGAGTACAGGCCGTGTGCTCCTGCCCTGGCTTGGCAGATCGCACGCTGTCAGCTAGAAGTGCCCAGGCATCGCCCCCTGCCTAGGAAGTGGGGCCTGGGCAGGGGTCCCCACCCCTAGCCTTGGGCTCGGGGGGGAAGCCCGGCCTGTCAGGCAGAGTGGGGGTGCTCCTCTCCAGCCCTGACGTCTCTCCCAGGTGAAATCGGGGTCCCCGGCTGTGCTGGCCTTCGTGAAGGAGAAGTCTTTGGGGCTTCCCAGCTTCCTCACCTACACAGTCAGTGTCTCAGATCCCGCGGCCGGCAGCCAGGGGCCTCTGTCCACCGCCCTGACCTTCTCCAGCCCCATGACTAACCAAGCCCTCACCATCCCGGTCACCGTGGCCTTTGTGATGGATCGCCGAGGGCCCAGGCCTTGTGAGTCACGGGACGGGACACCAGCTGGGACGCACCTGGGCAGGGAGGGCCGGGCTGAGCGGTCCTGGCTGTCAGTGGAAACCTGGGAGTCTGGGACCCAGAGGAGTCAGAAGTGCAGGCCGTCCCACAAGGTGCAAGTCGCTCATCTGGGCAGTCGTGCACGCTCTGCTTCCCAGTCTGTTCTCAGCACGGCAGCCAGAGGGTCCTGTTAAATGTGACTACATCGAGCCCGTCCTCCCTCAACGCTGTGCCATGGCTCCCACCCCCCTTGGGAGGTGAAGCCCCAGTCCCTCCAGCGTCCCGGAAGGCCCGCGTGATCTGCCCTCCCGACCGTTTATGACTTGTCCCCCCGGCACACCCTGCTCCAGCCACGCTGGCCTCCTTCCTGCTGGTAGAACGTGTGCAGCCCCAACTCGAGCCCTGGGCATTCGCTGTTCCTCTGCCTGGGATGCTGTTCCCCTAGACGGCCCCTTGGCCAGCACCCTGCTGTCCGTCTGACCTTCCTCCATCACTGCCTTCTCACATAACGTGAGCACTCCGGCCTCACTCGCGCACACTCCTGCCCTGCTGTTCCACAGCACTGTTGCCAGCTGTCGGCCTGTAGGCTAACTAATATGATTGGTTAT